TCTTAATCTTTTACGTGGCCTAAACCATCTCTCAAGCTCTAATGTCGTCTGAATAGTTTTATGAAATTTTTTTTACCCTATTTTTCTACTGTTAGCGGTGAAAATTTATTGCCACTATCATTTTGCGGATGGGAATTGTTGTGTGAATAACGAGGTTATTTTGATTTTTTTTCTTAATGAAGCATTGATTGAAGGGAACGCATTTGCGTTTTGATTATGTATTTGTAACACAGTATCCAATATTTTCTAACTAATACAAATCACCACCCAATGTACTTTGTGCTCGTTTTTAACTCTTAATAACGCTATTGTATAAAAAGAAACTAGTTATTCTCTTTAGCAACGCCTATGCTGCATTAAATAATATTTTCTAGGTGCTGGTGGTGAGACCTTTTTTGTTCAGGAGTCAGTCACAGGAGTCTCTCTGGTCAGGTACCAGTCTTTTACCTATTTCTGTCGACGAACAGCAGGGCCAGCTCTGCTGTGACCGGAACACAGCAGAGCTGTCCCTGCTGTTCGTTTGAAGAGTACAGAGAGCCATACGTTTGACTGGCTCGTTATTCTAGTGAGGTAGCAGATCGTAATCTCGGGTCGGTCCAAAATCATTTATTGGGTTTTATCTGTCAAGAAACTTTAGTAGTAGTCCGGAGTCAAGAAGTTGGCGATGCTTACTCCCGTGCCTAGGAAAACACATAAAGCCTGTCCTGCGCCTGACCTTTCTCCGTTCGTGTCAGATAACTGTCACATCGGACTATGAGAGTGGGGAAATAGAGAGTACACTTGTGCTTGCGCATTTACTCGGGCACTATAATCCTGTCCTGAGCAAATAGCTAGTCTTCATTGAGACGGGCTGCGGTGACCTGGCGGTGTGCGGTGACCTGGCGGTGTGCGGTGAAATTCCGTCTTCATTATTAAAGAGAGTCATTATAATTACAGGCTTTTTTTATTTTTAGGAAAACTTACCCCCACATTTTTCTCCTGTATTGTGAAGGCAGTTTACATACATAAATTGCACAAGAACAAACATCCAGACCTGGAACAATTATTTGTAGAGCATACAAATAATTGTTCCGTGCGGGATTCAAACCCGCGGCCCTCAGCGCAGCCACTCATTGCTAAGCCACTGCGCCACGGAGCCGCCAATTACATCCCAGTCATTAGAGATGTCCTTAGAGATGCATCTGTAGTCTTCTTTGTCACATTTTGTGTCAATCAAACACAGACGAACTGTTAGTCCGATTGTCACTTTATTTTATTTTTAAACTCTTTATCTCTTTAGATCCTGCACAGAAAAGATTTTGTTGTAGTATTTTGTTCCGGATCAAAATCTTTTCGTTTGTCTCAATTCATACATGGTTGCTAAAATAAATGTATGCATTGGGGCAATAACGAAACTGGTTATATTCCGATTTAGTATGTTAATTTCTAACAAACGCAGCGACATATATTTATTACCAATATAATGATTATATGGTTGATAATAACCCCTGGGAGCTTTATATGGTTAATAAGGACTGAGAACTTTATATGGTTGGTAAGGACCCCGCTTCCAAGCCGTTTCTAAAATAAATTTTGTTAATAGTTTGTAAAACCTTCCTTATTGTACGACTTACATGAAAAAAGTCCCGCTGGCTTTCCTACTAGTTCTTCCCAGCACATAAGACAGTGGTTCACATATAAAAATAACTGGTAACTAAGTAGATGACAAGATTATTTAGAAAATATAATTTACGTTTTAACGTTTGTTTACTAAATTAGTTAAAATTCATCATCATCATCACAAATATCATGATTATAATAGCCCACCTCTAGAAGTTTCTTTAAATTGGGAGTATTTTCAATTCATAATTGAACAACAAAATCAAAGTCAAGAATTTTATTCAATTCAAGCTTGTTTAAATCTGCATAAATTCATAGATATTGTTTAATTCTTCTAAATAACACAAAAAAATAAAAGTCGGTTATTTCACGCATTAATGATGTATTTTATAGTGGGTAAGCGAATAAAGTATTATATTTATTCCCACAACTCATAATTATAATAGTAATTGTCACGGTTAATTCTTAAGCCGTGAACACCGGCATCATCCCTAAATTACTTAATCTTTCAACAAAGCTTCCTTGTTCACGAGCACATAAAACAATTTTAATACCGGCACATTAAATATAATCGTATAAGCTTTATAGGCCGATGAAAGAGCTTGTATCGTCTCTTAAAATATATCTTAATTAAATTGATATGACACACGTACTTCTTTATTAAAAAAATATAAGTGGGAAGCAAACCAACAGTACACCACTTTAAACAAAAGAATAAAATACACTTCGGACCGGAAGACAACTTGGCGCCAGAAATAGAGAAGAGAATTATATATATATATATATATATATATATATATATATATATTCAGACAGACTCCCAAGAATAAGAAATACCCTACCCGTTATTACAAGGTTGAGCTCCACATTCCTCAAGGACAGAAGACAGAACACATAAGTGGAAAAGATTTTTTTAATGATTTCTTATATTTACGCGAACACTACATATTGATTAAAACTACTTTTACGGATTTTATCGCGTTTAATTTATTTGATTTTCAATTCCCGACGTTTCGGGTGGTTTACAGCACCCATCATGAGTGCTGGTGGTTGAGTCCGTTAAAGTGTAGTTTTAATCAAGATTTTTTAATACAACATTAGGATTTTCTCTTGTATCTTGGGGGCTGTTTACGTACATATTTTGCACAAAGACAAACATCCAAATCTTGAAGTCAAAGAGTAGCTATAGACTACTTACTATTTAGATCAGGGTAAAGATCTCCTTTAATTGCTGAACTGTAAATATTTTATTAGTTAAACATGCAATTTATAAGTGGTAGAGCCATGACGCGTAATGCATATTATGGCTGCAACAAGAATGAGTCGGTTTGAACGGAGAAGCGCACGCTCTCACAGAACACCAGCGTAAAGTAGCAGCTCAATGCTGCTGTGTTTCGTATGATAGGTGTAGAGAAACGAATACCCTTTTTACTGGAAACGAGGCATTCCATCTTAGTCCCCAGGGGTGACTTCGCATCCGCACTTGGATTCTTAATCGGGGATAGATCTAGTTGTCTACGGGCCACAATATCCACTTACCACCAGGTGTACTGTGGGCTCATTCGTTAATCTTATTCTTCAGGAAAATTGCAACTTTCCTCACTATGTTTTTCCTCTCGACCGGGCATGTTGTATCTGCGCTTAAAATTGGTACTAACAATTTGCTTGGTGCTGGCGGATTTAGAATCTGGATTGCCCAAATGCTATGGAATTTACGGCGTATTTTTAGCCGCTGAGCTACCACTGTCATGATGTTCATGACTCATGACACATGATTTTATTTTATAGTGATAGTAGAGGTACCTTTATTTACTATTAAACAAATTCATGTGTTTTATCTCTTCAGGTATAAAATGTATTTTTACAGATTAATTTAAACAGGAATTGCTACTAGGTCATCATGGCTAATGATCATTGCGTGTTGTTTTAGTTTTTTAAACTCAACTTCGATTAATAGTTTTTCTGTTAGGTGAATACTAAATATTGAGTAAAATTATTTTTACTTACTTTTACTACACTTCAGGTACTACGTCGGGTATCAAAAATAACTTAAATTATTGTTATTAAACGTTATAAAACCCACAAATTAGTTTTATTCAAATTTGACTATTTTACTTTATAAAGATACATACGAGGCCTAGATAACTATATCAAAACTATTATCTAACAATAGCCTAAATAGCCACCAATCAATCGCTTAGATTCCATTTAGCATTGAACTGTAAGCCATTTTATTTGTGAACATATTACATTATATGCCTAAAGTGATCTATTTTAGTTTATAAATTCCTCTTAAACTATCTCAATAAATATTTGCAACAATGAATCTGAATAATGTTTAATGACAAGGTTTTGAATAAAATTATTAATGGATAATACGAATTTGTTGATTTCCTTATTTCTTGCCTTTAAAAATACTGGGCTTTTTTCTATTTCGCAGAGTTCTTTTTACCCGACATGGGTAATGTTTTTGAGTGTATGTTTGTATGTTTGTTTCTTTGGCACGCTCTGTAGCTTAAATGGCTAGGTGGCTTTTAACATACGGGGTGTCGTTAGCTTCGTCTAAGTTGTGAAAGTGACATGGCATATAAAAATTCTCTCTTTTCAGTAAACTTTTTTCGCAGTTAGATTTTTTTTAAATTACTATTAAATGACCTGTTAATAAATAATAATACACGGACAGATATCAAGACGAAGAATAATTACGTATATGACATATAAGTATAATGTTCCGTACGGGATTCGAATTTGAAGGGAACATTTTAAGCTTTGAGACATTTTTTACGGATTATGATACTTTACTGCCACTAAACGGTAATATAATACTATAATCTTATATTTAAAAATAATAGTAGTGCATTGTAATGTTAGCGCATCAACGACACACCATATGTCAACAAGAAGAATCTGACACGACCGGAGAGAAATCAGGCGCAGGACTTACGGCGTTACGTGCTTTACGAGGCACAACTGTAAGTCCTGTAACACAACTGTAACTTCCTAACTCCTGGCTGCTGCTGTGAATTTCTTGACAGAATAACTAATTTTTTTTGACTCGACCTGGGATTCGAACCCAGGATCTCATTAACAGCAACCTCGTTCACGAACAGTAGACAAACGAGGCAATCCTTCGTAATTCCAAAATGTAACGTAATTCCAAAACGGTTCCTTTTAAAGGTATTTTGAATCCTCGTTTGATATTGTTTTAGACCACTTTTATAGTTTTATTTTCCATTTGGCCCGCACCTGGAAAATGCATCGTAATCGATTTTCGATTTACTGGTCTAAAACCGTTTATGTAAAGAAGCTTTTTGTTTTATAGGTCGAATTATTTCTTTATAGTACCACTTGGTGTAAGCATATGGCTTCGATATTATGCGTGGTGTGTTGGTGTGATGCAGGTGGGCATGGTGTGTGCTCTGGTGGTGTCGGAGCAGGTGCCTGGTGCGCGCAACACACGGATGTACTGTGCAGCGCGCGTGCTTCTGCGCGTGTTCGGCGTGGGCAGCGTGTGCATCGCAGTCACCATGGCACTGGAGCGCTACCTCGCGCTCACCAGGCCTTTCCTCTACCAGAAGGTACGTACCATTTAAATTTTTTTTATTATAAGTGTGACAAACGAAAACACAGCCCACCTGTGACCTGACGGTAAGTGGATGCTGCGATGCATAAATATTTACCATCCTCGATTAAGAATCAAATTGTTGATGTGTTGCGAGAGGACTAAAATAGAATGCGTCGTTTCCAATCACCTTTCCACTACACTGACGCTGCAGAATTAAACTACTATTTCACGCTAAATCTGTAAGAGCGTGTTCCTTCCCAGCCGAACCGACTCTTTCGTAGTACAATGATGGTGTGTTTCGTATGGTGAGTGTAGAAAACCGGAGATCCCTTTTTATTGGAAACGTGATATTCCATTTTAGACATCAAATATGACAACGTGTATGTATCATGATTCTTAACTGAAGATAGATAAAAATGTCTATAAGCTTCAGCATCCACTTACCGTCAGTTGAACGGGCTGTGTGCTCGTTTATCACCCACATCCTATAAAAAATAAAACTTTTAAACTTATCGTGTAGTAGCTATCATATCGTCACGAGGGTGTTATTTCTCACGATAGACGGAAACCGGGACGTGAAATATGCACCAGCACTTTCCTGATAACAACTCGGATTAATAAAGGAGACTGCTGTTGCCAACCTGTCTGCCAACCGTGATGATTATAGCAAAATTCCCTCTATCTATGAGGAAACCTATGGGGGATGCTTATTATCGGCTGTAATTGATAGATAGATGAATGGATTCAAACTCAAAATATAAAACGGCTTTGATATACAATTGGGACCATCTATAAATAAAAGAAAACTACGGAATCTTTAAACTAACCTTAACTTAATCTTAGATATAACACCCTATTATAGAAACCAACATAAACTCGACATCTTTGTATAGGACAATAACGCCTTGGCTTTATTTTTAGACCAAATTTTTCCATATTATGAATGTCCAAATAAGTAAAAACTACTCGTAAACAGTACCGTTCTTTTAGTGCTTGACAAAATTTTGCACACAGATATCGTACTAAAATCTGACTAACAAAAAGGACGGAATGTTTTCAAATAAGTAGTAGTAAAATTTTAAACTCAATTTAAAATATATATAATGATATACCGTTATTGCATCTTTGAAAATGACGAGTAAATAAGGCTTCTACTTTTATTTCAAATTGTCCCAAATTGAATGCGATTTATGGGCAACAACAAAATGATGCATTGCCACGTATTTTGAATTTAAAGGATAAAATGGACAGTATGTTTGAGATTTTTTTATTAATTTTTCTCCATTTGTCTATCTTACTTATTTTGCACCTTCTCTGCAAATTTGGCCGTTAAAATACCCTTTACGTGTAAGTATTTTCTTTATAAGCATAAAACACACTCCGTCATACTTTATTAACTCAGTAAACTTTTTATTACGGAAATAAAGTTATTATTTGTATTATTAGTCAATAATAACTAATACATAATAAAACAACAGTTAACAACTAATTATTGTTTAGATTTTGATGACATGCCTTGGTGTTTTGTCCCTAATGTTTACACGTTTGTTTCTATTTTGTCTTATATATATATACAGGCTCGAATGAAATAGTAAATTTATTCTATTCTATTCTAATGCACAGCATGTTAAAAATTTTGCGCATACGGATCAAACAGAGCCTGATTTTAAGCATACACGATCGCGTAGTTTGGTACTGGTAGTCAGACACAACATATAATGGGTTCACGTACGACTTTTGAAAAGAATTGTGTGTGTTCGGGTCTAATTGTGTTTCGCTTAATTACTTGTAAGATCGTAAGAATTTTCGACAATAATATAAAAGACAATACTACTAATTAGTTTTAAAACCCAATATTATCATGTATATTCTCATTTTTTTGACTTCATTATCGGATTATTGGCCGTATGAGGACGCTCAAAGTTGCTCAGCGTGCTATGGAGAGGGATATGCTCGGGGTTTCTCTGCGTGATAAACTTTGAAATGGGGATATTTGCAGTAAAACCAGATTGACCGACATAATCCAACGGTTTAGTAAGCTGAAGTGGCAATGGGCCGGCCATATAGCTCGAAGAACCGATAACCGTTAGGGAAAGAAGGTTCTCGTACCGGTAGGCAAAGTGTAACGCTACTCCTCACTAAATGGAGTGATGACCTGCTAAGAAATGCAGGAAGTCAATGGATAAAGGTGGCTCAGTACCGTACTTTGTGGTATATCTTGGGGGAGGCCTATGTTCAGCAGTGGACTTGTGAAGGGCTGTAATTTATGTGTGTTAACTGCCCCCACGATACAGGAGAAAATCCTAGTAAGGACGTTACATTTTTATAAAAAAATTAACAATTATTAAAAAAAAATAAGAAGCATAGCAGCATCAAGCTACAACTTTACGCTGATATTCTTCGAGAATGTGGCCCTTTCTCGGTCAAGCCAACCCATTTGTGCTGCAATTAAAGTGTAGCAACCATATTAAAACGTGGTTTTGCCAAATTAAAGAGTGGCTCTACTACATTAAAACGGGGCTCTACCACATTAAAATGCTGCTCTACCAAGTCAAAGTGTGGCTTTATCACATTAAAGCATGCCTCCATCACGTTTAAAGTTTGGCTCTACTACGTTAAGTTATTTTCGGTAAATTCAATAAAATTAATTGTAATATTCGTTTTATTGTTGTTAGTGATTTTAATTTAATTAATTTATTATTAAATCTATACGTCACTATTAGACCGCCTGAAAAATTAACATGCAATAGTTGAATTTAACCTGAAGATAACCCGGGCTGAGTTAATTATGACATTAGGACGTCGAACACCTTAATCCTCTCAGTAAAGAACCCAAAACGTCAGAAATCAAAAAGTGTAATATCCGAAGAATTTGTTTATTCAAAAAAAACTGTTTTATTTTTTTGATGCTGAACTGAAACTGGGTAAACTATAATATATATTTAGATTTCTTGTATAATATTGGAGAGAAACGAGCTAACAGTTCACCTGATATGTGGTTACTGCAGTTGGAGCCCTCGGACACGCGCGTTGTTGCTGGGTTTGTTATGAGCGAATAATAGATAGAACTCTCACGTAGTCAACTTTCAGAAGCAACTTTTAAGGTGCCGTGGTAGCTCAGATGGTTATCGCTCGCTGTAAATATAACAGAACGCGAGTAACCCGGGTTCGATCCCCGCCGGCACCAATGAAATTGTTAATTGCAATTTTAAGTATTGATTTACCACGTGCTCGGCGGTGAAGAAAAACATCGTGAGGAAACCTGCATGTTTGAGGAATAAGAAAAAAAATATTTCGAAGACATGTGAAATTCGCCAACACGCATTGGGGCAGCGTGGCGGACACTACCTAGCCCTAAAATCCTCTCAGAAATGAGGGGAGGCTTGTGTGGGAAGTATATAGGCTGTAACTTTACTTTACATTTTCAAAAGCGCATATTAGTAGAACAATAGTGGCTATAGTTTACTCCTTCCTAGAATAAATAATCTGGAGTAAGATCGAAATCGTTTTGACAGTTGTATTTATCTCTCCCGCGCAATTTACTGACCCTTGTTAGCGAAGTCGACACGAGCGGGTGGGGTCGTCGACAACGTCAGCACTTATCTCTAATAAAGCCGTAGGAAAAATAGGATTGCAACAGAACAAGCTTTGCTTTCGTTCATGTTATCCACCATTCACTTGAGATATTTTTTCGTGTCCGACCTTATTAGGAGACCACTTACTACTAAACTATTTTGGGACAATCTAGCCTTTAAAGTATTCATGTACAATCTAGAATATTAAGCAAGCTTGTTATCAAGTAATTGCATACCAAGAATAGCTTTTATTGTACATTGTTCATTCTCTTGCGACTTCAAGGAGATTCCTCGAGGACCGAGTTAATAACAATAAATGCTAAATTATAACACTACAATGCGTAGCGACATTGTGCACAAGTAGATAGATAGATAGATAACTCTTTATTGTACACCTAAACAATACATGAACGAAAGAAGAAGGAAAAAATTGGGTCACAATGGACGGTCTTATCGCGAAAAGCGATTTCTTTCAGACAGCCTTTGGATGGACTGATGGACGGATGGATGAAATTGTGTAGTTTGGTGATGAGAAAGAGAATATTTAAATATATTCATATAACATATAGAAATAAATATCATAACATGAAAGTATGAATATGGCTCGAACTCAAAGATTTAGATTTTGACAAGCTTCTGAAAAATAGAAAAAGACTGGGTGCGTCTCGCTAATAGAGCTAGGGCATTCCATTGATGGATTGCTTCGGTAGTAAACGACTTATCCAAAAATTTGCGAGTAGATACCACCATCATAATAACTACATTAATTTCTAGAATAGAATGTTTACTATATAATTGGATCGACAGTAACGGGGTGGCTTAAGAAAAATGGATGGATTATATTAGGAATGTTCTGCGTAAGAAAGGAATGAGTGAAGATATAACGAATAATATAGAAGAAAGGAATGAGTGAAGATATAACGAATAATATAGAAGAAAGAAATGAGTGAAGATATAACGAATAATATAGAAGAGAGGAATGAGTGAAGATATAACGAATAATATAGAAGAGAGGAATGAGTGAAGATATAACGAATAATATAGAAGAAAGGAATGAGTGAAGATATAACGAATAATATAGAAGAAAAAAATGAGTGAAGATATAACGAATAATACAGAAGAGAGGAATGAGTGAAGATATAACGAATAATATAGAAGAGAGGAATGAGTGAAGATATAACGAATAATATAGAAGAAAGGAATGAGTGAAGATGTAACGAATAATATAGAAGAAAGTAATGAGTGAAGATATAACGAATAATATAGAAGAGAGGAATGAGTGAAGATATAACGAATAATATAGAAGAAAGGAATGAGTGAAGATATAACGAATAATATAGAAGAAAAAAATGAGTGAAGATATAACGAATAATACAGAAGAGAGGAATGAGTGAAGATATAACGAATAATATAGAAGAGAGGAATGAGTGAAGATATA